AGTTATATATGGGGATGGTAGGTTTTTTGTCTTCAGTAGTCTCTGATGTAGCTTATATAAAATAATTGTTCTGTTAACTGAATACCACTTTGTAACTGAAAATTTAAAAGTTGCAGCTGTTTTGTTGACATTATGAATGCTTCTCAGTAAATATTAATTTTTATTAGGAAAAAAGGATCTATCTTTCTTCCTCCTTATATTAGGATAGTGACTTGTCTATGTTTTTACCACTGCATCATTGGTGTGACGTTATACCAATATTGCAGACCCAGAAAAGGTTTGCAATAACTGTGTGTTCAAGGATGAAGCAGAGAGGTCATAAGACTTGCCCGAGGCCACAATGTAAGCTGAAGCCTGGACTGTTTGGGTCACAGAACCTGTGATCTCTCTATTCTATCCCTACCAAGTGCTTTCATATGTTGTCTCGCTTCTAGATGTCCCAACTTGGTGTCATTGTCTCTCAGCTGCTTGTGAGCACAAACCGATGCCACCGACCAAGAATTCATTTATTCAGAGTGAGCGAGAGGCAGGAGGAATAAACAGCCCTTCTGGTGTTGTGCCCTCTTCCTACCCTCTTCAGCTGCATCTCCTCCCTTCCCAGGAAGCCTTTTCAAACAGCCTCACTTATTTACCCATCTCCCTCTCCTCTAGCCTTGTTGGTTCTCCTGATATCTATGCCATCAAAGTGGCTCCAAGTCACCTGGCCTCTGATGGTTTTATACATATTAGTGCTTTATGAAAGCAATTTAATTCCAGACATATACTAAAGGCAAATGTGTGTACAGGCCTGCCTGTGCCATGACCAATGGGTGGACACAGAGATGAATCAGACACAACCTCAAAGGACTTACAGTCAGTAAGGAAGACAGAGAGTAGATACAGATAGAATTGACTAGAGCACAAAGCAGGATGCTCTAAATATTATAGTACGAAAGAACTATGAGCAATATGCCACAGGCATAAACCTTAATTACTTAATTATTATTCTGAAGAGTGTATCATAGAAAGAGTATAACCCAGCAAACCAGGGCTTGGCCATGTGGCACCTTGATACATGACCCAATAATTAGTGTTGAAGGAAACAGGTTTTTATTTATAGGATTCCAACTTTGGGGCAGGGGAGGGAGACAGTGCTGAGAGCACTCCTACTCAGAACACTGTTTTCCCATGAAACCCAGCACTTTCCTTGCTCCCCAAAATGCTATAAACTTGAACCATGCCCAGAAGTTCCCCGTATCCTTATCTGTTCTTAGGTCGGCTGCACCTTCCATCCCCTCTGGAAGGCGCTCTTGTGGATTTCAGAGTCACTGTCCCCTCATAGCAGCTCTCTCCTTCAGGATCTGGAGTAGGTTGTTCTCAGACTCCATGCAGTGAGTGGTTCAGGGAAACATGTGGTGTGTTACAATGGATCATGGTGGAGTCCAGGGGACACACGTCCCAAGAGAGTGGCTTCTCCATACATCTTCTAGAGAAGCAGAAGTCTATGGCTCAGCATTCCTGGTCACAGTTCAGTTCAGCTCCAAGCATCTCCCATGAATCCATGCTCAGTTAGGCAGGTGCCCATACAGCTCCATCAGCTCTCTCCTTATACCCTTTCCTCCTGCATGGCTTCTTCCTCCTTTCTTTCAGACCTCATGGAGGATCGCCTTCTCTTTCAGCCCACTCTTATTTTAAATGTTCAGACTGGAACTTCCTGTGTGACCTCATACCTGGCCCCTCCTATGATGTGCTACTTTTATCAGTTCCCCAATATCCTTTACCTTCTTTTGGATGCCATCTTTAGTCAGGGCAAGGGTTCCTCATGACTCAGGGGCATCTGCCTCCCCTGGCTGTGTCATGAGTCACTATACACTCTTAAGATCACATATAGCTTTTGCCTGGGGTGGCAGCACAGCTATTAACTTGCCATTGTTATGTAAAGTAACTTAACCTATGTCATCCACTCCTCCCTTCCCCTAATCCAGGTTTATAGTAACTTTCAGGGGACCCTCACTCTGCACCCCATTACAAAAGCTCAAAGCTATTAATTGGTTCAACCCCTTGTTTCTCAGAGAAGAGTGAAGGCTAACCTAAAGTTTCACTAGTTAATCTGGCTGAGAGAAGACCAGACTTCAGGTCTTCTGAAGCCCCACCCAGGGCTCTTTATTTGTCCTTCAGTAGCTTTATATGTAGCACTCCATATCCCACCAGATCATGAAATTTTCAAGGCCAAGTCAAGTTCTCCCACCTACCAAGCTAAACCAGGGCTAGCCATGCCCAGGATCACGTGCTTGGGAAATGCAGTCTGACCTCATGCTGCCAATCCAGCCTTTTCATCTTTCTCACCTAATAGGCACCCTGCTTTTGCCACTATGCTTCTATAATTGATTTTCAAGTATCTTTTACAGAAAACTTTTTGTTAATGAGCTCTTTACACAGAATACTGATATGTACTCATAAATCAGATAAAAGCCAACCAACTCTGGTTGAAGGGAAGGGAGACCAGAGCCCTACTATTTTCCACCCTGAAGTCCTGGGAAGGGAACTCTAGAAACACAACTCAAGAATCTTTGTTCTGGAACACAATTTTTAATGGCTTCATAGAAGCCATTTTTATGTGGTCCTCCACTGAGCTCTTTTATAAAAGCTCACAGTCCTTTCTTCATCATCAAATACCAAACACCAGCCATGTATTCCCAGTAGGGTATGGAGGGGAATCAGACTTATCCCTTGTGTTTCCAGCTCTCCATTCTTCCACAGAGGAGTTTGTCCCAGGCGCTCTGGGGAGGAAGAGAGAGTCAAACTCTTTGGGGGCCAGGGAAAGCTTCCCCAGAAGCCACATGGAGAATGAATTCACCTACTCAATCATTTACCAGCCTGAATCTGATAGCAGCTCTAACTTCTCCATGCATATCATACCCACTAGCTACATGTAGCACTGAGCACTTGAAATGTTTCTAGCCAAAATTCACACGTACTATAAGTGTAAAACACAACAGATTTCAAAGGCTTATACAAAAAAGTGTAAAATATACTATTTTTTATAATCAATAATTTTATATTGATTACATGTTGAATAATAATATTTTGGATAAGTTGAGCTAGTTAAATATATTATTAAATTTAATCTGTTTCTTTTACATTTTTAAAACTGTCATTACTAGAAATTCTTATTATTTTATTATTTTTTATTTTTCCTAGGTGCCCATCAGTAAATGAGTGGATAAAAAAACTGTGGTACATTTACACAATGGAATACTACACAGCAGAAAGAAAGAAGGAGCTCCTACCATTCACAACAGCATGGATGGAACTGGAAAGCATTATGCTAAGTGAAGGAAGCCAGGTGGTAAAAGACAAATACCATGTGATCTCACCTAGAGGTGAACCTAATCAACAAAAACAAGCGAGCAAAATATAATCAGAGACATTGAAATAAAGGACAAACTAACAGTAACCAGAGGGGAGAGGGGAGAAGGATAACGGGGGAATCAAGGGAAGGGGGAATCAAGGAATGTATAAGGCCCCATGGACAAAGCCGAAGGAGATAAAGACTGAAGGTTGGGAAGTGGGGGTGTGTGGGGGGTGGAAGTGGTGGCAGGAAAATGGAGACAATTGTACACAACAACAAAAAATTAATAAAAATTAAGAAAATTTTAACTTACACTCTGGCTCACATTATATTTCCAGTGTACAGTACTAGAAGAGACTATCAAGTACATGGAAGAGGTAGTGTGTATGTGCATGCATTGTGGGAAGTGTTAAGGATGGCAGTCAGGCAGGTAGTAGTCCCTTAGGGCCAAATTGTGAAAGACTGAGTCTATGTTCCCTCGAAGTCAAGACAGGAAAGAAGTAAGGCAGAGGGAATAGAATGCGCAAAGACCCAAAGATGTGGCACATTGTATTTGGGGAACTCCTTGTTATACTAGCATGATTTTTTTTAAGGCATTTGTCAAGTGTTGGCTAGGCATTCACAAAAGGCTTTACATCCATTCCCATGTTATCTTCACAACTGCAGGATGAAGAAGAGGTTATTTCACAGCCAGAATTGAGGCTCAGAAAGGTTAAGCTATTTATTCTCGAAGTTGTTCTTCCTCTTTATCTGGAAAGCCTCTTGGAGACTGTGAGCCTGTCTTAAGCGCCTCTGTTTTCCAGCGCAGCACCTAGCAAGGAGCTCCGCACGTGGTAGGCGCTCAGAAACTTTCTGTTGAACCAAAGCTGTCCATTCTCAAGTCAAAGCTCCACGTGCAACGCCTAGGAGCAGAAGCACCAGAGGGCGTCCACGAGTCCGCCCACAAGCCCATCCTCAAGGCCCCGGCAAGCTCTCCGGCCTGGGTGCGGCCCTTCAGCCCCCTGCAGTTGCGCGCCCCGGGGAGAAGATAGGGCCACGGGAGCCTCACGTCCTCGGTCCAGCCCCGCCCCAGCCCAAAGCCGAAGCGCGCGGAGCGGCCGGGTGCGGAACGACGACACAACATCCTGTTTTGGGGGCCCGCGGCTCCGCCTGCGCTTCTGCTGATCTTGTCTTTCCCCCGGGTGCTGACGCCAGCTCCCCTTCTTCGCCCTCCCCCAGGCTCCGCACGCTCCCCAGGGGTCTGGGGCCTTCCCACTGCTGAATCACTACCACTCCGCACTCCCTCGGGGCAGGGGTGGGGACTGCCCCAATTTGACCCATTGTGGTCCGATCCTTGGCCAACGCTCGTTCCTTAGGCTTAACTGAAGGCAGCAGGCCTACAGGATCCTGTTCTCAGCATCTTCCCGCGGGGATCGTGGGGGTGAGAACCAGGGAGGGGGACAAAAGCCTAGAGCCTAGCCTGGGGTCTCTACCGGGGTAGGGTGGCAGGGAGGAGACTGGGACCTTACAGGACTCAGAGGCGGAGGGCTGGGGATGGGGAAGCCCACAACCCAGCCAGGGACGAGGCCAGTGAGGAGAGACTGAGGATGGGCGGGACGGGCCTGCGGACTTCCTGGTGCAGCGGCGCCCCGCCCCGGCCCGCCCCCGCGCCCCGCCCCGGCCGCCCGGCCCCCCGCCCCCCACTTCCTCCGGCCTCTCGCTCTCACTTCCTTCTCGACCGACCAGCCAGCCGCCGCTGCCGCCGCCCCCAGCTCCCCCGCAGCGGGGAGGGCACCAGGTGAGACCCGGCACTGGCCCGCAGGCTGGGGGTCCGGGTTTGGGGAGCCCTGCTGGCCCGGGACTGGGCACGGGCGCCGGCCCAGGAAGTTTGCTTGCGGGAGGCCGCGGGCGGGCGGGCGGGAGGTTCTGGGATCGCTGCAAGCTGGGCGGGCGCGGCCGGCCGGGCGGGGCGGGAACTCGGGACTGCGAGCCGACGGCGGCTTCGGGAGGGTGGGTTTCTTTACTGTAGGGGGCTGTACAACCTCCCAGGAGCCGCGAGGGACCCCTGAAGTCCGCCGCTCCGCGAGAAAGGTCTCTGAAGTGGAAAAGCTTAGAGCTGGGATGTGGGGCTCAGAGGTGGGGTGCCCTCAGAAGTTGAGGGGTGTTGCAAAGTGTGTGAGGGGAGGGTGCCCCCCAGCTGGAGCTGGCGCTCCCACAGCTCGGGCAGTTGTGACTGACATTTGTGAGGTTGAGAGGGGGGCGGTGTCTGGCCTCTGAAGCCTTACACTGCAGAGAAAGATCTCCCTGCCTGGAGGATCGCCGCCAACCCAGACCCAGCTCTCAGGCTGCAGCCAAGGGTCCTCTGCGTTTAGGGAGAGGGTGGGGAGAGCCCCGCAGACGGCAGTCTTTCTCTCTGTATGTTTTTTTCCCCCACCTGTGGCCAAGCTTCTCCATCTCTGAAAGCAATCAACAGGTATTTAGTAAACAAACATCTGCTGTACCTGGCTGACCAGTGCCTGGCCCTCCGGTGCCTGGCCTTGCTCTTGTGAGTAAACTTGAGGAGGAGAAAGGGCCTGATCTTTGTCCTGTGACTAGAGGTGGAAGGACTCCAATTCAGAGGTCTTGATAGTCCCTGACAAGATGGCATCACTGAAAGCAGCACTATTTTCAGAAGATGGAGAGAATAATAGGGTTTCTGGGAAGAAGCAGGGGCTCTGGTCTTGGGAAATGATTGAGAGCCATCTCCTAGTCTTCTCCCACCCACACCTACCCCTCATTGTTAGTCCCTGAATCCTGCACATTCTCACCCCATCTTCCTCCATTACTTCTTCATACTCCCACAAACCCTCCATTACCCTCTTCTCCCATCTTCAGTTTCTTCCCCCACCCAAACACCCAGTCATGCCAAGACCTCTCACTTAATCCTGCCTTTCTGTCCATCTGTACCCCCTGCAGCCAACCCCTCTTCCTTCCTTGGCCAGCTTCTGGCTCCTGGAGACAAATCCACACTTTCGCTTCTTCTGTCCCCCCTCATTCTTCTCAGTCCCTCTCTCTGTCTCTTTTTCTTTCAGCCACTTATCTCCAGCTTTGGGGTTGGATCTTGAGTGAGTTTGAGAACCTTTTCAACCTCCCCAGCTGGGAGAGGCAGGTTGCAACCTCCTAGTGATAGAGATGATTAAAGGGCTGGAAAACCTTTCTATGTATCTATATGCACGAAAGTGTCTGTGTGTCTACATTTTTATCTCTTGGAGACAAAATAACTGCCCTCAGCCTTGAGAGGGCCCAGAGCAGGGGACACCAACAGAATGAAGGGAACTGCAGTGGGTGAAGTTGTGGTTAGGCAGGAGGAAGGAGTCTGTAGCAGTCAGGGTGGAGTGACAGGAATAAAACTGGTGAGAGCAGCCGTGGGAAATCAAAATCACCCAGACCCTTCCTTCAGTGCTTGATCATGAGGCCAAGCCTGGAAGCCGAGGGACATCCCAAAGGTCCCTAACTCCAATACTTATTGGTTCCAACAATGGTGATAGGGAGAATGAGACCAGGTTAGCTGTGTGTGGCAGAAGGGAGGGGGCAAAGTCAGAATTCTGGAGGGAAGACTAAATATTGCTGGTCTTACTTCAGTCTTAATGTTTTAGTGCCAGTTCAGGAAAAGAAGAGCGATGTGAGGCAAAGGTATCTGCCCTTTCTTCCCTGCTGTCTTCCGGGTCCTGCTCAGGCTGGGCACCCACGTGCCCTGGGCTGCATCAGGGTCTTGGTGACGGGAAGCCCTCTGCAGTCTGACCCCTCTTCTCTGCCTTCAAGCATCCTTAGTATTTCCCTTCACCCTAGATAGGACCCCACTCCCTGTCTTTCAGGAATTTCTCCCGAGTCTGACTTTATTTCCAACTGGTTTTGTAACCTCTTCTTGTCCCCATTCTAAGGCTCTTTTCCTCAAGCCTTTGGGATGCATGCCATAAGATCTTGCTTCTCTCTGCCTCCTTCAGTTTATTCTATTCATTTCTCTCCACTAGAAAAAAAGAAGTGGAGGGGAGCAAGTGCTACTCTTTTGGGATTCCCACGCACTGCTACATTTAAGGGTTGTTCCCATTCTGTTTTCTTCCATTCTCACAGTTGTCCCTCTCCCATGAATTGTCCCTTCTACCCACCAGTCTCCTACTCTCATTTCTGCTATGTATAGGGGGGTTTGGTTTCAGGAGAAAAATCCCTTCTCAGGTAAGGATGTACGTACACGCAAGACTTTTCCAGCATCACAGCTCAGTAAAAAAGCACTCAGGAGTGCTGACTCCCAGCCTGCCAACCCGGTACTTATTTTAGGATTCTACATAACTGAGCAACCCACAGGTCTCTGAAGGTGAAGATAGGATGGATGAGACGGGTTCTCCCAGGCAAGACCAGGTTTCACCGATGGTTTGAGCTAATTGCAAGAAAGCCATTGCTGACAAAAATATGACCAGGGTGGGAGGGGTCCAAATGGGAAAATATCATGGGAGGTGGGCAGGTGCCTACAACCTAGGGGGCTGCCTGTTGAGGTCTTGGCTAAAGAAATAAGGTCAAGGACCTGAAATGAAAAAAGTGACTGATGTGAGATTGTCACAAATCCTGATTGGGAATCTAATATCTGGAGGGTTGTTTTGGCAAGATGTGAGGGCAAATGAGGTGGCTGATGTAAGCTTTTAGGGAGTCACGAACAGGAAGATACGAAGTTGTAGCTGTAGCGAGACAGTTGGGAAGATGTTAGTATGGGGGTAAATAGGCAGTCCGGAAGAAGATGAGGGCCCGGACCCAGACTAAAGATCCTCCTCCTTACACAGTGTACACCCACTAGTGGTGAGGCTTATAAGGGTCTATGAAGAGGGAAACCAAAGACCAAGCCTGGGCCACCTCCCCAAAATAGATTAGTTTTCCTGTCCAGAGTCCACCTTCCTCTTTTGTCTTCATGTCATGGGGGGAGGGCATCTCCCCAGGAGCTAGAGGCTGAAGGAGGAGTTTCTCAGCTAGGGCAGGGCCAGTAATGTCAATTCTAAATCACAGATGCCCCAGTAAGAACCAGGCACGAGAGCCTGAGAACTTAGAAGCAAAAAGGGCTCAGGTGTCAACCTGACCGCCTTGGCCCATTTCCTTCAGGGATAAACCACGGTAAGATCATCCTGAATGAGGTCAGAGATGGTGGGCTCACTCGCAGGCCAGAGTAAAGATTTCAGGCAAGAGGTTAGGGAACCCAGGTCCTTGTCCTGGATTTGCTCCCCACTCTGCATAGCTCTGGTCAGCTTTGTCTCTCGTGACTCAGCTTCAACATGCACAAGTTGCCTGTTAATACCTCCGCAGAGCATAGAGGATACTGATAACTCTGACTCTCCTTCAACCAAGAGGCCCCTTTTTGTGGTGGCCTCCACTCTGGGCCCTCCTGTGTCATGCCAGCAGCCTTGATCTGACAGGCCTGAGTGGTCCTGTAAGTATCTGTCCAGGGACAGGAACTGTGGCCCTTTTCCCCAAAGTGCAAGCATTATTACAGGTTGAGAGATGAGAAGAGGGCAAAGAGTGTGGGGGATTTTGCCAGGGGACAGCGAGATGGAGTACCCTGTGCCCTGCTCTAGCTCTGCCCCACTGATGGTGGAAAATAGATGCCGGAGTTTCCTCCCTGATGTTTTTTTCCCTTGTGGAAACCCCCTCAGGCTTGGGGCGGGGCTGAAGGGACAGTGTAGCCCTGGGTCTCTCTGGGTATTTTCAGGTGGGGGAGGCTGGGTTGGGAGGATGGTGCTTCTGTACAAGCCTCTATGTGAAATGAGCAAAAGCAAAGGAAGTGCCCCTTTACAGGCCCAGGCCTTTCATGGGGCCCGGGACTGCTGAGCTGCTAGGGGGAAGGGAGGAGGAAGCAAGTGTTCAGCCTTGTCTGTGCTGCTAGAGTGGGGGAGGAGGCAGCCTCCTTAGCTCCCCAGGCCTCTAGCTGTCCTGGCTCTGAGGCTCAGTGTTTGCAGAGCAACCCAGGTGCTGGGGATGGTGGGGAAAGAAGGGAACTGGGACTTAGTGAAAGGCTCCCATCCTCCGACAGCTTTCCCAGCCACAATTGTCTTATTTCCTCCTTCTTTCCAGCCCTTAATGGGTAGAGTCAACTCTGGCAGGCTCTTACCCTACCTGCTGCAGTACAGGAACCTCTGCAGGGCTGAAGGGTGAAGAATGGCCAGAGGTGGAGGGTTCTCTAGTGTGGGGTTTTTTTTTAAGGCTGGGAAGTAGGCTCTGTTGGGTTCTGTCCCTGCTGATGAGGAGAAGGGGAAGAAAGAGAGAAAGTCAACCCTTGGCATGGTCCCAGGCCTATAATGATCTCATGTCTTCCCCCAGCTTCCTTTCCCCGGCCCAGCTGCAGCCAGCTACAGCTCCTCGAACCTCTCCATATCACCTCTCCATCCTTGAAAACAAATAATCAGACTCACAGAGTTTCTGAAGCCATTTCCAACACTGACCCTGACCATGCCTCATCCTTGACCACGGGTCTTCTGATATCGCCAATCCTTAGCCTTATTGGGACCCCTTTTCCTACCCATCTTCCTTATCACCTCTGGGCTAAGCTGTGCCTGCTTCACCCCTCTCACCATTCCAGTGGAAAATTGGGCAATCTGTGTGTGTTCCTTACCCTAAATTGTGCTCCTCAACGGGAGGAGGAAGTTGATTGCCCATGTCTAGTGTCTCTGGGGCATAGAGGCTCTTCCTTTTTCCCAGAATCAAAGTTTGAATTGATGGAAGAGGAAATATTTGTCAGTCTGCAGATTTTGCTCAGAACTCTGCTGTGCTTCTGGAAATAAG